TGGGAAGGAATTTTCCCGAAGACCGATTCCGCCGATGCTTACCTGCAGACTGAATTCGAGGAAGAATCCTGAAAACTCCTCACAATCAGTTGGCACCGTGATCTGTTCCAGTATACCCGACTACTATTCGGTATCAAGACATCACCTGCCACATTTCAACAGAAGATGGATGCCATTCTGAAGGACGCCCCATGTGTTGCCGACTATTTGGACAATTTCATCACCATGGGTTCCAATCCCGATAAATTAAGGCAATGTCTCGATTACCTGTTCGATCGTATTCTGGAGTACAGCTTCAGTGCACACCGACAGAAATGCACCTTCTTCATGCAATCGATAGATTATCCGGGTTTCATCATTGACTAACACGGCCGCTCCACCAGAACCGGAGAACACCCATGACACTAAACGCATGCTAGCACCCACAGACATAACATCTCTCAGGTCCTTCCTCGCCTCCAAAGTTCACTGGCTTGACTACTCGCCGAAGACCACAAGTGAACATGGTCAGAATAATGCCAACGAGCTGTTGGCTGCAGAATCCATGCTGAATTTTGATTTGCTTCTCACCCACTAACATCTATCACTGGAAATCATTGTCCTCGGGTGCTTCAAACTATGTAACTGGCGCAGTGATTCCACAAGTCTATCCCAACAGCAACCAGAAAGCCACCGTACATACGCTGACCCCAGCAGATCATAGCTACAGTCGGATAGAAAAACAAGCTTTGGTGATCATGTCTGCCGTCTAAAGTTTCCATAAAATGCCCTACGGCAGTCAGTTCACCTTACTGACCGATCATAAGCCACTCCTTGCTGTATTTGGCTCCAAGGGGATCCCGGTATATACCGCAACCACCTCCAGCAATGGACTACGCTGCTTCTGGGATACTACTTCAAGATCAATTACCAGTCCAAAGTCAGATTCGGAAAGGACGACGTATTGTCACGTCTCACTGATTCAAGCAGACAAGAACCAGAAGACACTGCAGTCGCAACATCATCATCACAAGAAAAGACAGCAACATCAGTATTGAAACTGATGCTTCCCTGCCGTACTGTACTGTA